GGGGGGGGGGGGGGGGGGGGGTTTGGTGGAATCATTTTGTATGAAAACTATTGTCCCACCCCCCGCTGTGACGACCATTTGCATCGTTGTGCTTTCATAGATTGACGGCATAACCTGCCCTTTTTGAAGCGTTTTAAATAGGTGTCAAGGACTACGGTAGTTTGGAGTTAGAATTTCTGTGAAAAGGGGAATTTCTATTTCTGCCGTATGGAATTGTTTTTACAAAGTTTTCTTCTTTGACGTTCTTGTGAGCAATAAACGACTGATTCGTCAGGGATTCGACGTCCACTTCTTGATGTCATTTTGTTTATTTTTTCCCAGCATGCTCTACTCACTTTGATGCTGGTCAATAATTGAGGTGGAAACGGTTCCTTTCATCTGGTAATAGGTGTCCTGGTACTCCTCATAAACTGTCTGAATGCTCCCCAATTGATACCCTATGAATCTCTAACCACCAGATGCTCCTGGTTATTCTAGGAAGGATAGATCTCGTCAGATTGGCTCTTCAAGTAATAAAACTCACCTTTCCTCTACAGCGGCATCTGAAGCTTCCGAACTCTCCTACGCTGTTACCGTGTTCGGTGGTGATTCCTGTATGGAATTATCCTGTTGGTGGAAACAGAGATTTTTGATGCCTTCTGTGTGTGTAGCGCTTTTCGCACCTGAGTTTCTAGAGATAGGATTAAGTTTTTAGGTCAATCTCGTTTTCGGAAGCGCCCACGCATCCGAAGACAAGGCCACTTTCATAAGCAATGGTGCTAGTGTTTGATTTTGCATGTGGCCTGCAGAACAAAGTGTCTTGGCCAGCCACTGTACAAATCATCAGTTTCTGATCTCCCAGACGACCTTGATATCAAACAAGTTACCTTGGCTTCGGCAGGTATTAGTTCAAGATTTGAGCCATTGATCATACGCGTGGCAGTCGCCATTCGCCACTGCTCAACCACTGTCAGACTATATGCCCTCTTTCTCTCTCAACAAAATTCTCGAACCTGATTTGAGGTGGATGAGCCCGGTTTGGACGGCTCTTGCCTTCATCAGGTTAACTTTCAACGTTTTTTGATTTTGGCTACCAGTCCGTTTCAACCATGGTAGTTCATGCCCTAACTAAAGGAAGAATAGCAGCAGAAAGCGCCTCATGGGTGATTCTGGTTTAGGAGTGATTATGGGGAATTTTGGAAAATATTCCATATTGGGAAAATTCACCTGCGAGCAAGCAGCGTCATAATTACTATCAGTTGAGCTATTGCGCGTACCTGAGGTGTTTACCGTATTTACTTAGCGGACGACTTTCATGATCTGCTCTCTCGCCAACGAGCGGTTAGAGACGCAGAGAAACGGGAAGGCTGACGATGTCTGTTCGTGTTTATCAAAAACGTTTTACGATGCATTCAGACGATTACTCATTGCGGTTGATTATCTCCTATTTGTCATCGCCGCCCTCGTTATTTTCACGCCAGTATGACTTTATGGGCCTGCAAACAGCTTTTCGCTTTGTGGAGGTCAATTGTTGTGGCAAGGAAACTTGGGCAGTCAACAAAGTGGACTATTTCAAAATTCCTCTTTGTTTTGCAGTAGAGCCACTACCCAACCGCAACGGCAAAAAGGTTGGACGCTTCACTGGCGAAATAGCAGTAAAACAACTTGTTTTTGTTGCCATAGTGGAAGAAATTTTTTCGAACCTGTAGCTGGCAAAGCATTCTTCATTGTCCTAGGTCCCAGGTAGCTGAATCTCGGATGAAGGGAGTTTTAAAGGCTTTCTTGGCAACTTATCAGGACTCATGTGGTTTGCATGTCTGACGTGGTTGATATCAAGGGAGCCTATCTGATGGTAGGATGGATTATTGAAGGTTATGAGGTGGAAAGCTGAGCGCAGAACATTGAGCCTCATTGCGCCGAGCGATCTTAGAGGTGCGCCACGTACTCGTTTCTGGTTGCGAATCACAGAGGCGCTCAAATGAGTACTTGTTTGAAGATTATGGGTAGCCTACCATTCTCCTCATTTTATAGCGGGGCATCCGCCATTACCTGGCCTACCACGGAATAAATAGTTCTGTTGGTAGGCTTGAAACTGGACTAAGAATCATAGAAACGGTCCCGATTACCATACAAAACCAGGCAAGGTCGGAAGTCCTTGGAAAGTATGGAAAAGTGAGGTAAGATGTAGACCGATGCTGTTGGTGCAAAACCCATTTATGGTAAATTCAACACAAATCGCCAACTGCAGCAAAAGAAGCCCACTCATAAAGTTTCTGGATGCTTTCACTGACTTCCTTTCCTTTCCTTTCCTGACCGTTCTAAAAAAACTCTTCTTTTTGGACTCTACTCTTTCCATATCTCCTACGAGTCTGTTCAGTTCGATTTTAGCTACTCTTTCATTGCCTCCTCGAATACAATCGCGTACCGTACCGCTTTTGTCTACCAGATAGCTAAAATTTGGGACGTCTGTTACAGAATCGCTCAGTGACCGAATTAGGATTCACATTGTACTGTGACCGCAGCGCCGCGCTATGCGATGCACTGGCTTCGGTACCTGATGTCGTTGCTTCTGATCGGCGACGTCGTGATTCCGGCTCGTCGACGTCACAGTCTGAATTTGGCTCTGCTCGAAAAACCAGCAAGAAGTCGTGATACCGCCGCTTATGCTGCCGCCGATCAGCATCCAGAACTTCGAACACCCGCACGTCTGGCGGACGACGACCAAACGGAGTTTGTCCGACGTGAATGGACGGAGACTGTGTATAAGAAAGTGCGAACCTATAGTGAGTTTACAAATGTGTCTTATAACTTTGGCACTACTGTTCATATGTGATATGGTAATTGACAAGCAGTTCCTTGGTCGTAGGGGTGCTGAAAGAACTTTTGGGAAGAACTTTACCTCTCAGGAGCACTTGCAACAGTACATATTTTACTTTTTGACGTTTTTGAAGAAATAAGTTTTCATTTAAACTCCTTTTTTTTTCATTGACTCATGCCATTCCTCCTATCTCCTCCATCCTACATATAAGCTACAATGGATATGGGGATCACGTTACTCGGTTCCCGAACATGGCTTGGGCTTTCCAAGAAGCAGTGGCATTGCCCTCTCTTACCTCTCCTTCATAGTTAGACAAGAAGACGTATTTGAAAAAAGCGTATACTGCTGGATTCATCAGACATAATTATTATGATTGTTCAGTCACAAAAGGATCAAAGATCCGCTGACCGGCTGAAAAAGATAAGAGTTTACCAACGTTCTGCCGACACCTTCGCCTAAGTCCATCTACACACGCGCTGATTCCTAATAGGAACCCTTCGGGAATCTTCAATGACTTCATCGTATGTACCTACATGCTCTGTGCTATGTGCTCCAGTAATAGTTGCCATAATAAATCATCATCGAAATTCTGCTATTTTTCTGGACCCTACACCACCTTCCACTCCTATCGTAATTCCCAAGCCAGAACTCACGCTTTCCGTCGGCTATTGTCTTCCTTCCTCACCACCACAAGTCTCAGCCCAGAGCCCTTATCAATAATAAATAAATGGTAATATTCTAATGACGTGTGGAGCGTCCCATCGGCAGTCGTCCCGCCACATACGCTCTGCCATAATAAAGTAAAGACCATTGGCATAATCGAGTCACTCGTTTATTCTGAGAGAGAGGGGACGAAGACGCTACCGCAGGGAGAGTCTTTCTGATGTCAGCCAGCATACCAATTAATCAACATCGGGTCGCTTCCTGCCCGTCATAAACGAATAGATGTTGCACAGGATGGTTCTGGTTCCAAGGTGGGAGCAAGTGTGAATCTAAGGCGGATTAGAGCTGGATTCTAGCAAAGGTGTGAGCTGTGCCTTCTGCATTGTACTTTTGCAGACTTTCATACTTTTTTCTCCCGATTTACCGTATAAGAGGCCTCATGTATACATGGAGGCGCTGCAAAAAAAGTTCAGGGGAATTGGAAATGAGGGAGAACCCATGCAAGAGCAGATGGGCAGGGAGTTGGAGCTTTCACTTTTCCAGTAGGATCGCCTTGGGTTCATCCATCTTTCTGATTCACATATCCCAGTACTTAGCAAAGCGTTCTCAATTCCCTCGAACTGTTGTGCTAGCTGAAGGTTTTGGCTGTTCTATACTCTTCACGCCAATACAACCCACGTAACGAAGCACTCCCTGTGATATTTAATAATACACCCCATAGGTAGCCATCCAAGACTGACTGAGTATTCTCTATGTTTTGCCTATCTCTCCTCCGACGCTTCTGGAGAGCGAACTAGGACCGAAACAAGCAAAACTTCCTTTGAAGGATGACCGCAGAGGTCGTTTTCCTACTTCTAATTGCTGATTTTGTCCAGCGGTAAGGACAAACTTGGCCTTTTTTTTCGAAATTGGTTTATCAACTTTGCGAAAGGCTGTGGAATCAGTGACAAAACTGACTCCAACATGAGGAACCCGTCATCCCAAAGTTTTATTTTTGGTGTTTGGAAGCGCCTCTTACTATTTGATAGGGTTGATCTGAACAAGTGGCTTTTGTTTTTGTTTGGCTCAATGGAGTATTCACTAAAGTTGAAGGAACTGCCGAAAATTGATGGACTTTGGAATGAATTCGTAGAGAAACCAAAGAAAGAAGCGCCGTCACTATTTAGTTGCTTTATGTTCACTATGTAGTTGAGCTGATCAAATTACGACAGCTTATAAAAGTGATGTATTGAATCTTGCTCTTGCTCTCGCCCTTGCTCTTACTCTTGCTCTTGCTCTTGCTCCTGCTCATGCTCTTGCTCTGCTCTTGCTCTTGCTCTTGCCCTTGCTCTCACCTTGATGTCCTGATTGTTCCAAGGGAGCCTATCTCAACCTTGAATGTCTGCTTTCGAGAAATGACTTTACTTATAAGCTAAAAATATCATTGATTCGGGGATATGGGGAACTCCGATAATGAATCCATGAAGTTGAGGTAGAAAGTGGTCCACCTACGATCGAAACTCGACACAATTGCGGAACCAGCAGTGCTCATGATTACCCACCGATTATTTCCACATGAAGAAATTCCAGCAGTAACAGCTCGAGTGCGACAAAGGATCTGATAATAGCTCATTCATAATATTTCTTTTAATGGAATATAATGGAGTAGGAATTCCTCTTTCCTCTTGATAATTAACTACGTAGGTTGTCACGTGTTGAACCTTTGGGCCGAAGAAGTCGAACAATAGATCCTTCTCGTTGCTAATCAGCTTTATCAAATATCACTGACATTAGCGAGTGCATTCAAGGCTGAATAACTCCTTCCGACTCATACAAAGGCCTATAACACTCATATCGAATAGACCTTTAGATGTATCCCATAGGCTCCCATGCCTATGCCGCCTCCCTATGCCACCAGCAGAATTCTGCTCTGGAAGCCCTCAAACCTCCAAATTTTGATTTACTCATTGTATTGCAGTAAACCAACGCTCTCTAATGATGGGAACTAATTTCGAAATTACTGCAGTCATAAGCATTCAGTCAAAAAGGTTATTGTTCATTTTCCAAAGCACTTGTGAATCGTTTATGCCCGTGGCTACTGCATTGACAGCCATGCCGTAGAAAAGAACTCGTATTTGAGTGCAAATCGAGTTCAAGCCATCATCGTAAATTACCATATTCGCAATTCTATCAACCCGACTTCCGTTTTTCGACGCCCCCTTTGTCCTCTATGGCGCAGTGCTTGTCCCCCCTCCCATCTATTGGTCCACCTCCTTTTCGCTCTCTTCATATAAATACGTTTAGTATGTTGTTTTCCTAAGCTGACCTGCATGGGAAATGTTCCTAAATCTAATTGTGGAGTTGTAAAGTGTAAAAGTAAAGTGTGAAAGTAAAAGTCACTCAGTATCATCATGTAGCAACTCAGACTTTGATTGGTGAATTGAAAATTTCAGGCTTTGAGAGTTTTTCTGACTTACTTGGACTGGCAGAACACGAGCTAATGTTTTTTATAATTGTACTGTTATAGGTTTGGCCTTAACCTTACTCATTCGAGCAACTTTTTTACCATAACAGCTTTGAGGGTTTAGAGGACCGAGGATGTTAACCTCGTGAATCTAAAATAAAGATAGAATGAAATGGGCAAGATAAGCGTGAGAAAAAGGCGGAAGAACTACCCAGGACCATGATGCAGAAAAAACAGGAAAGTCAGTTCAAACCATCACGTAAAGAGGGGCCGTGAGTGGGGCGATTTTCGAGGCGGGATCAAACCACTGACTAGGCCTGGCTTTCATGGAGCAGCCTCTCCGGTTCCCTGCTTAGCTCACTGTTTAGGTCCTTGAAATAATGGCTGACTTTCTCTTGGAGGTTCTGCCCATCTTCGAATTGCGCCCATAAGGACTTTCATCGACCAGTCAGTCATGTTATTAGCCATTGCATTTATTTATGTCATTAGGGCAGTTGGCCCACAGTCCAACTACACAGTTACTGCCATTGATTCCAATTCAGCCCTTTAAAAATATTCCTATCTGTCTAGACAATTTACGGTCGAAAATAATCAGAATTAGGCAGTTTCGATGAGCTACTGATAATGAGCTCCATAGAACCGGATTCGCAAAAAAAAGGAGAAATGGACTTTGGATCCAGAAAAGAGTAAGCATTCCTAGTTAAGTGCGAACTTTGCAGCTGAGCCATGGAAGCTCTGCAAAGGAAATTATTTCTGTAAGTAATTTACGATGCAGCGTTTCTCTCTGCTGCTTCCATTCATCAAGAATCACGTCATTCTACTTTGATGATCTTGAAAATTAGTTTTTTTCATGTGAAAATGTAAGATTNCGTTAGGCCCTACTTTGCTTTATCTTTACTCTATGTACCCCCTTTCCTTCGATTTTCTTTCCTTTTCTTCACCATTGCTCTTATAAAGTGCTGTATTATAAGTGCCGCTGATGCGAGTCCTGGGGAACAGACTTATCACGTACAAGTACTCACTGGCATCTGATTAACAGCACCAGATTTATTTTGGAACAAAATTTGGCTCCAGCACTGTTCGCTTCCTGATAATTACTGCATAAACCAAATAAGAAGTCAAGTAATCAAAGAAGTGAGATGAAACCTTCATTTTCTTACTATTGAGTCATGAGTTTCTCACATTATTCCGTGAAGTGTTCGTGAACGAGCAACTCAACCTCCCCCTTTTCGTTAGAAATACCCATAGAAAACAGCTGTTCCATTTCCAAGGTCCATAAAAAAGTCCTTCGTGTATTAGTCATCCTTGACAATGAGCAGCCCGAGCGTTCTGTTCACCATGTGCCTCTCTATCGATATGGCTTATCTTCAGGCCTCATTGACATGAACAGAGTTCTTTACTCGAATAGGCTTTGACTGACTCCATGCAGTTCTATTTCATTTCTTCTTATGAACCTGTGGTCTTCTTCTGTCGCTCTCTACATATTCCCCTTCCCCGCCTCATCTTGAATCATCTCCCCTTTGGTCTGTTGGCATGGCTTCATCACATGCGAGTCATATCAACAGACCTAGACGATAGCAGCACTTTTCATAAGGTGATGTAAAATCTACTGGTACCTTCGCCTAATGAGTTCCGTTGCAGTCATTCGTCCAATCGAGTGATAGACTATTGTTCCCCATACAATCCGTCCCTTTCACAATCCTAAAGAAACTGCGCATGCACGACCCCACGTACCTGGTCCTCTTACCAATATCTGGAACGTTTCCTGGATTAAAAATCCTGATTCAGACTTTCTCTGAGCAAAAGTTGGAGTTTCCACCGCTAATCAATCTTATTGGAAAACACACTGTATCCCTTACTACATCCCTTACTTGTCAGTCGATTATGGTAGAGAGAAATCTAGATCATA